ACCCTGCGGAGGAAACCCATTTCGGCCGCTTGTATCCGGGACCTCGTTCTTTCGGTCATGACCCAAAGCTCATGACCATAGATGAGGGTAGGAACGTAGCTCGATCTGTAAATCGAGAGGTGAGTGACATCATAAAGTCTAAATCTAGATGCCGTACACCAAGTCCTGATCTGTCTGGTTTTATTAGATTTTAAAGGTAAAACAATCTGATGGAAGTCTATGGTTATTTTTAGGAGACACTAAGGAACAATTTAGATACTTGACTCTAAAACTTCACCAAACTCAGCCTGAATAAAGACAGAAGCAGACACACCTTCATTACGTAATGTGTGAATGCAACAAATGGTCAAAACTGAAAGTCTTCCCGGCTGCAGCCACCACCCCTCTGCTCATCCCACGGACGTAATTGTGATTTATTTTCAGGGTGATGGGAGGTGATGGGAGGTGATGGGAGGTGATGGGAGGTGAAGCTGGGAATGGAGGAGCAGGAGTTTGAGGCATGAAATTCCGCAGACCTGTCTGCGCTTTTAACCATCAGCAGGTTGCATTTTCCGGCGCGTAATTGCGCATTTTCCTTAATTAAAATGTCGGATTCTGTGATCTGCGGTGCTTATTCGTGCTAAAAAAAAAACACATTAATAAAGAATATGTGTTAATTTTGATCTGCTTCAGCAGGTGATTGAGGCATTAAGGTGCTGTCACTTTGCAGGAAAGATGCTGGAGACTGGATGGTCTGCCTCAAATCTGCCGCAAAAATATAATAAAATAATCCGAAAAAGACCACAATCTGCCCCTCCTTTTACCTGTTAATCCCTGTGTTTATCTCCACACATAGATCTGGTTTTATGAATGGCCGTGGTGGCTTTCTCTGGTGAAAATAGCGCAACATTTTTTTTAATCTTTGCGGAATAACATCACAGTTAGCATAAAACAACATCCAAACCGTGTCAATGTCATTCTAACATCACCATACCTCCATCCACATTAACCCTTTCCTCAGCAGACACGCCAACTCGCCTCTAAAAGCGACACTAAACCAGACTTTAGCCGTAGCCCGACATTAAAACCATTAAATTTAAAATACTCGGTCAGTCTTACCCCCATTTTGGCGCTGTCAGTCGGGTCTCCTCAGAAGATGCTTTCACTTTAATTCAACCAGAACCGCTGGGATTTAAGGCCAGATGAGGGAGGAGAAAAAAGCAGAAATACGTCGTCTCAAAAAATAAGAAAATGTCCGCTTTCCAGTGTGTAGCTAATGATGAAAATTCAAATAACTAGCTTAAAWACTGCACTAAATTTCATTTTTATCAACCAAGAACGGACTCGACAAGGCTGCGTTTTTGTAAAACACGAACACAAAGCTTTTCCCCGTTCATATGATAACTAAAATAAATTTATGTTTTTTTTTTTCCGGTTTAAAATGTTGAAATTATCCGCAGCCGTCGGTGACGGTCCGTCTCCCCGCGAGGCGAAGTGATGCCGGCGGAAAGTAGTGCCCGCTCCMCGGCCGGGATGTCGTCTCCCTCCGCGGCTGAGCAGCGGTCTGCCGCAGCACTCGGCAGGTTGGTCCTTATCACTCCGCGGATGAAACGCCACATAGATCCTGAAAGAGAATTGTGCCGCGTTCAAATAAGCAAAAATAAAGCTCAGTTTTATTGTTTAGTTTGGATTAAAACAGCATATAATGCTAATTCTCAGGTCATAGCACAGAATTAAAAATGAAAATATGAACACAAGTTATTTTTGTTATTTTAATGAGAAGATAATGACCAGAGAAAGTGCAGAATGTGGTCTGGATTGACATTTCAGAGGAATATAAACACTATAAACCCAAGTTAACATAATATAAAGTTGTCATCCTCTGTGCAACACATATGTAAGATGTAATACTGCAGCTGTTTGCTTTTATTCACATTAAACAATATTAATACACCCTGCAAGTAAAGTGTTCAGAACAACAGGACCTATAAATCTGGGTTTTCTTAATTGTCAATTAAAATGGTTTTGGGGAAGTTATTTGGAGATCATGACTCCTCAGTATGATGCAACATGATGAGCCTGTTCCCTGATTTTTTTATTTTTATTTGTATTTTTAGGTTTTTGTTGTTGTTGGCTGCAGCAGCTGTTTGGAGCTCATATCCCTGCAGGACTAAAGTGGCAGAAGTGAGCAGGAGCAGCAAAGCGTTTAAAATAAACTGTTTTCAGAAGAAAATCAGCACATATTACAGCCATGAAGAACAAACACATGAAAACAATGTGAGGTTTCCAGTCTATCAGAGCTTCCAGCACTATTTCTGTTGCACCACCTGCTGTGGAAGATTAGACGAGTCGAAGCTGCGAGTCCTGCAGCTGTCTTCAACACACAAACACGTCCGCACCGAGATGATTCAACACACCAGGAATACATTAATGAAGAAAAACACGTGTTCATCTCAGCCACTAATTAATACGGGCGTGTTTCTGTCTGTGAATGTCTGCAGGCATTTCTGGGTCCAGACAGAATCAATATTCTCTTTTCTCATAACTCAAGAGTGGCCTGGTTTCTGCTCCGCTCCCTCATCCATCAAGCATGGAGCTTTCCAGAGCTTTAAAATTAGGATGAATATCTTCTCAGAGAAGCTGGTAATGATTTTATTTAACATAGCTTTATTTCAGTTTAAGACTTGAAAAAGAAAATGAATTTTACTAACAAATGTGGCACTATTTAAAGTGCCTGTGACATCGATTTTTTGTAATAAATGTGAATGAGTTTTTGGAAAGAGAACAGTGATAACATTTTGCAAAACAAATTTCACGCTGTTGAGATGAACGGTTGTTGAGATATTTGCGTGTGAAGAAACAGGAAGTGATGTCAAAGGGGAATGTCTGAATGTAAACAGAGCAAAATCTGATGCTTCTTTAGATTATTTTGAGTCACTGTCAGAGTTGAAGAAGAGTTAAATAAGATTGTTTCWATAAACAAAGACCAGAGAGTTTCTTTTCTTAAACAGAAAAAAGAGTTCCCTTTGATGTCACTTCCTGTTTCACTTTGATGAGCTAAACCAGTGGTTCCCAAACTTTTCAGCTTTTGACCCACAAAATAACAGTAGCAGAGACCTGAGCCCCCAACTGTTTTTGGACGACAAACATTTGTATCAGGTCAACAAAACATGGGCATAGTAAGAAAATTTTTATACTACATTTATCCATTTAAAATATACTAACCTCACTCATTTGTAACAACTAAGGCAAAAATGTAATTAATTCAGAAAATCTTTTCAGGACCCCACCTTGATGTTTCGGGACCCCACTTTGGGTCCCGACCCCAACTTTGGGAAACACTGAGCTAAACTCAAGAGAAAACATGCCAGTTTTGAGACAAAATGGGTAAAATTGTGTGTATTATGCTAATTTTCTTAAGTATAAATGTTTTCTTTGACTTTTTGTATTTGAAGGATAAACATGTCACAGACCCTTTAAAGCTTAAAAGCTGATTCTCTTATCGAGCTGCTGATGCTTCTTCTAATTTTATTCTGGATTATATTTATTTAGTTCTTTATAATAACACAAAATCAGTTCTGTGTTGAAATTGTCTGAGGATTACTTCTGTTATGATTCTTTTTAACCTCTCTGCTTTGTGCTGACCTCCTGTGGTTACAGAGAACCTCTAATATAAAAGTACATCTTTTCATTAAACACAAAGAAAGTTTATTTTAGGGGCTGGAGAGAGAGAGATGCATTTACCGGGGAGAAAAAAAAGAAACATTTCAGAAACCCCTCAGCCATGGCAACAACCTCCAGGTGACGTCTCCTCGATCATCWGGATGCTTCGAAACAAAATCAAGGAAAACTAGAAATAAAAGAAAGTTCGGTCTCCACAACAAGATGCACAAAGTTTAATTATGACTATTTCCTGTTCTTTTATTCCAGGTTTGGAGTCTTATTTTGCTTCATGTATCTATAACACTGATTGACGTTTTGAGAAAATGCTGAGTCACAAAAAAAATTTTAAATTAATTCAGTCAATCCAAGCAGCCAAACAAACATGTTTATGTTAAAAAGTAAGAATTTCTTTTGCATCTTTGTGCAGAATAAATGCATTTATGTTAAAAATAATAAACTCACTTAAATGATTATTTAAAACGAAGCATCATAAAGCTCAGCATCACAGCGTTGAACTGTTTTTATATTTGTGTTTGTGGAATAAAATCACCTGCAGCAGGGAGGATGTYGTGCGTGTTCTAATGAACCTYATCTCTGCATCACTGGACACACACRCTCAGACACACACATGCTCCCTAACACAACAGGTGTGTTAATGATTGCACATGCAGTTCAAGATGAACAGGTACCAGCAGCAGTCAGGTGTAACACAGACCCTCAGCTGCGTCGGTCATAAAAGCTAAAAAAAAAAACATAAAATGTAAATCATGTCCAGTCTCAGGTTGATGTTTGTAGTTTTCTTATTTAGTAGTATTTAGTAGCTTAGTGTGTGTGTGTGTGTGTGTGTGTGTGAGACACTGAAAGCACTGAAAAGGTTCAAACTGCTTTTTCACCGAGATGAAAAATAAAAACGGAGAGTTCCAGGAATTAGCCAGAGCCATCATCTGTTCATTCCCTCACAAACCCAACGATCCAAAGAAACAGCTCATGCACCAAACTGGTTTATCTTACTTCAGCAAAATGTCTCATTGTGGGTTTTAACGAAGCTTTAAGGAAATCCAAGATGGCCGATAAAGCTATCTGTCTTTAGCAAACACAAACATGAATAAAACTCTAACAGTTTAACAGATATTGAGCTAAAACTTGGTGTGTTGGTAGCTGAGTGTGTTTTCTTTCACATTATTTAGAGAAAAATGTAAACTCTTTTTAAAAAACTAGTTTTCTCTCATGTAAACATTAAAAGGCCTGGGTTAGCTTTCACTGAAATATTTCTACTTGGCAATAATTTTTTATCAGTACTTGAATGAGACAAAATGCTGATTTAAAGCTAAATGTTTTAAATCAGAGCTCAGTTGATTTATCAATTGATGCATTATCATTAAAAGAACAAATTCATTTATTTCAGGAGAGATGGAGGAGATTTCCTCCAGCTTTAAAGATCTCTGTCTCTTTAAGGCTCTTCTCCTCTTTGACAGCCAATCAGAAGCCAGCGAGCGCGGCTGGCCCGTCCTTGGGTTYGACCTTGATGGAGGATGAGAGTGGAGGAGAATGCTGATGGAGGAGAAGACGCTTTAGTTCCTCTTTGGGTTTTATTCTCACAGAACCTGAGAACCTCTCCCCTCCATCCTCACAGCTCTGCAGAGAGTTGCATAATTCCCAGAGTGGAGGAGGGAGGGAGGGAGGAGAGGATGGAGGGAGGGATGAAGGATGACTCACGATGCAACTCCACTCCACTCTCAGCTGAAGCATTAACGGCACATCACCACCAGAGACGACACTCTGACAACCCGAGTGCTTTTAATTCTTTACGTCATCGCAGAAAAATTCACTTTGACCAAAATAAACACGTAAAGAAATGWGGTAAAAGATGTGGTTTAAGAGCAGAAAAATGTTGCATCAAAGATTCTCTGCATGACGTGCAGTTATTACAAGTTGTTTGTTGTTTGGATTTTCTGATCAAAAAGGAAGAGATGTGGAAAATTATACAGTTTTTATACTCGAGTAAAAATACCTTTACTGTAAGAAAAATAAACAACAAGCTGAAATAATAGAGGWTCAGGGTGAAAAGATTTCAGATTCTTTTACTTACGTTTAAAGTTTTWAATGGTCTGACACCAGTTATTTATGGGCCCTGAAGCACTTTGGTCAACACTGCTGTTTTTGAATGTGCTCAAGTGAGAATGATGATGATGATGATGATGATGATGATGATGATGATGATGATGATGATGATGATGGAAAAAAGTCAGAATTCTGAGATTAAAGTCAGAATATTTTTCTCCCCCAGTGGCCCTAATCCTGTTTTGTAAATTACTGAACTGACCTAAAGTAAAATAAGAGATGCATTATTTTCTTTTTTTWATCTCGGTTTTAGAAATTTAAAATCTTCAAGATAAAAAACAAAAAACAAACAAAACAAAAAACTTACCTGTCTGCTCACTCTCCACCTTCGTTTCCATCACACCTGTTTCTCTCCTCCACAGGTAACTGACCTGTCTCTCACCTGTAAAGCAAAAACCAAACATTAAATATAAACTTTAACTCTCAATCACTCCGTTTCCTGACCTGATCACGTTTCCTTTCGCCTCACCTTTAAGTTTTCTCTTCCATGTCGACAAACAGATTTTATTTCTGTAACTATAATCTTAGCCTCATTGATCTGAGCTTCAGTTTGGTTTCTGCTCCTCAGATCCGTCAGGTTGCTCAGAGTAATAAAACCGTCCTGGACATCCATCTCTTCTCTTATCTCCCATAATG